TTAGGTGTTGTCAGGCATGGCTTCGAGAAGGCCGTACGCAAAGAGCAAGGGGCACTGGACGCCGCCGTAGAACAACAGACCGTGAAGATCGCCGCCTAAGATTATTGGCCTTAAGGGACCGTTTCTCCACCACCAGGTCCATTGCAAATGAATGGTTTGCAGAACACGGAAGACCTATTGGCATGCGAAGTGTTTACCGACGAATGAGAAGTTTTGGCTTGTTTTCATACCCGCCACACTGGGTCCTCCCTTTAACTCGAGAACACCGACGTAATCGCCTTGAGTGGTGCAGACAACGGTCACTCTGGGATCAGGAATGGAACAGTAACAAGATAATGCCCGACCACATGTTGCAAGAGTCACAATAGACTTCTTTCAACATAATGATGTCACATTGTTACCATGGCCACCAAGATCTCCCGACGTATCCCCAATTGAGCACGTGTGGGATATGATGGGTAGGAGATTGCTCAATTTGCAGCGTCCTCCTCAGACTCTAGAAGCACTTCGAGAGGAGTTGGTGGTTGCCTGGAATGAGATACCAGAGGAGGACATTGACCACCTGATCAGAAGCATGCCTAGGCGCGTTGGAGAATGCGTAGCACATCAGGGTGCATCCACACATTATTAAAGGTCAAAGGGCTTTGAAGCAGTGCAATCATTTTGAAATTTTTATCATTTACTTATTACGCTTCTTTAAGTACTTATACAAAATTTTATTAAAATAAAACCATTTAAACTGGGTGTTCGGATTTATATGTCACTTAGTATATTTTGTTAAATGGAAAGCATTATATTTTATTGCATATTTCGATAGAAGAAATTTGATACAACATACATGGGGTTTTATTTTCAAATTGTTGACATTTGACAATCTATCGACAGCTTTGACAATTCTCAACTCCGCAACTGTTATAGATACAGAACTGAATTTTTCGTTAAAAAGTTTTATGATGCCATGTTTTGTTCCTATCCATTTACTTTTTCAGGTTTGTAAACAGTTTGGTCAAAAACTCAGAATGAACGATATTTAAAAAAAAATTTAATGGAACACCCTGTGCATTTTCACAGTTCTTGATTCCTCTGTCCACAAGCCTTTTGCGATATCAGTGTTTTGGGTTTTTGTGCGATCGGTTTTTGGGTTACACCTAACCTTCAAAACTAAAAAATAACATTCAGGCATACTGTTAGAATGAGCGTATTTTCAATAAAAAATGAATCTATCCAGCCTACGTTTCTAACTACTCAAAAACCAGTCACGTAAACCCCCATAAACCTTATACTAGAAAAAAAGCATATGAAGAGGTAAATCAAAAAGTGTGAACATATATAGGGTGGGACAAGTTAAAATTTTAAGAAATTGTTTTTATTTTTCTTGACTACCCTGTGTACACTATTCAAAAAAACTGAAAAGGTCAGTAAATAGAGACAAAATATTAGATCATAATTTAAAAAAAAATGCAGTACTTTATATAACAGCTGCGGAGGTGCGATTTGTCAAAGTTGAGTGTTTCTTTCGATAAACTGCCAAATATATCAATATCTGAAAATAGTATGGTATGTTGCATTGAAAGGACCTATCCTTGGATCACCGCATAGTTATGAATCACCCTGTAGAAGCAAACATATTGTAGCGTTTTTCTGGTTTCTTTAGGGTGTGATTTAAAACACTGGATTTCACAAAAAAAATGCACTGATTGATTCAACTTGATAGAATATTCATGTACACCACTATTTAATTCTTATGTCGCCATTGACTGCACTATACTCCACTCCGCTCTGTTACTCTACCGTATTCAGTACTCTCTGCTTCCATCTGCCGGCCGCCGAGTTATATATAGTCCCAATTGCTGCTTCGAGAAAGGCCGGGTGAACCGCAAAGCGACATCTAGAATATTGGAGGTCACTTCGCGTCGATCTAGAAGGCGGTCTATGGTCACGCTCCTCACAGACGCCGCCAAGCGGCTTGTGCTGTCGCGGTTCGCGTAAAAGCAGAGATCGGCCATTAAGCTCTGGCGAGTAGGATACTCGCCCAACAGATGACGCTATTTGTCACAATATTTTCCAGGTCAGTAGCTTACTGTTGGATACAATTAAGAGAGAAATAAAACAGATACCTGCAGATTTAAACTGCCGGATCTCATACTAAATGACGTATTTGGGTGTTCATATACAACTTGGTACGTAGGATTGCAATAAGTCCTTTAGAAGTAGTAAAAAGAAAATAATCATTCTTACACATGACCAAAAACTTCGATGAAGGCTCGAATTCTGTCTGGAAGCTCTGGATTGGTCGATTTGAAAATAAATGAGCGCGCCGACGGATGAATGGGGAGTCGAGTCGACGATGAGTCAGCAGTATCACACGCGATAGGCCAGTCGACATCGTCACACATTTGATATAAATTAGTCGTAAGTGTTATAAGGCGAGACACACCCCCACGGGACCACCTGCGGATGCCTATGACATCCTAATAGGTGCTACTCGTTGGGATCGGTGGTGGAGGAGCCGACAAACACGGCGGTGTTGCCAGATTTCATCTAGCATCATGCGCGGCAAACCCTCGAAAGTTGTCTACAAATTTCAGACAACAGTTTGTAAATTGAGATATAAAATTGGTTCTATTATTTGTTCCAATTGATCAAAATGTTGGAATGTTGCGGAGTTTGCACGTCTATGTTCTAGTCGTGCATTCGATCGCCTCCGACACTGGAAATTATGCAAATTGCCCAAGCTCGTTGCGAGTGGCTGGTTATGCCGTGGCGGATAGTGCCGTTATCGTGCTTTTCTCATCGCCATCTCGCGAATATTGGCCGAGAAATAACTCGATAATGAATAAATATTGTAATTTGGGAAAGGGAGAGGTGTAATTTGCACCGTAAAGTGTTTTACATCGCAAATATTATATTAGGCTCGGCTCGGGACCGTATGCTGGCTACACGTTGGCTCCTTGGACGTGATGTCACGTTCCTCGTATAATTGGATTTTCAGTTGTTTGGGATACTGAACGTTGAATTTGTAAACCACTTGCTTGTTGAACCATAAGATACTCAACAATTATAATCTGCGGATGAACATCTCTTTTTATTATACATTGTGTCCGCAAAGTTGGGGTTTTCCTTTCCAGAAACAACAAAGGTAATGTGTAGTGAAACGGGGGCGACCAAGTAAAAAAAAATAAAGGAAAAAGTACTCACTCTCCAGTTGACGAGAAGGGCTAAATACGTCTCTGCCCGAAATCATACCGCTCCAACAGAAAATGAAATCAGCTGATGCGCTACCGAGCAGACGCACCAAGACAGCCCAAACATTCACCGAAAATGTGCCCGACGGATAGCGTGCGGATTTTCTACTGACCAAACATGAGTGTTGCGAAAGTTATTCACCCCATTACGCGTGAATGTAGATACGTCTGTCACCAATATGCACTTCAAAAAGTCCGGATTATTGTCATGTTGATGCAACAACCACTCACAAAACCGCACTCTTGCTGGAAAATCGTCAGGTTGAAGGGCTTGTACACGTTGGACGTGAAACGGATACAGCGCCTCTTCACGCAGCGTTTGCCACACTTTAGTTTTTGATACTTGCACTTCTCTAGTGCTTGTTGAGGGATTCTCGTCTACGCGATTACCTCTACACGCGTGACCGTAACCGTCGGTTGAAGGTTGCATACTGACCTGGCACTCTGACCCCGACCCAGTTCTGCCGTCGGGTTGAGACCTTGTACCAATCGGTGATGTCCCGGGTCGCGGCTCCAGGACGGTATTCAGATATTTTTGATGTTGCATAGCCCTTTATCTCGGTTCCCTTAAGACATTGGTGTATAAGGTAATAAGAAAAATTGCTTATGTTTTTAAGATCTACACGTCGTGTAAACGAAAACTCCAACTTTGCGGACACCCTGTATATGCATATATATCTGCTACATATTCCATAATCCAAAATCATACAAATTTATAGTGGCTTGTGTTTTACTAAACAATTTAATTATTAGGTTGTATACAAACATTAGAAGTGCATTTTTTCGTTTACAGCTTTTAAAGTTCCTAATGATTTTTTTAAATCTGGTGATTTGGGATACCAAGCTACCGAGGCTCCCCCTTTGGCGCGCAAAAAGCGAGTTATTCGTATAAACTTTATTTCTAGATCAACCCTCGTAATAAGTTGAATCCATTCAGGAGTTTCTGCCAACCAAACATCACAAGTTGTTAAACACCCAACCAATTAAGTTGCCCGTTGCCTTATATATGCAAGCGCTTGTAAACTTGATGGCGTTTAGAATAAATTACAACAAAGCAAACTAACTATGATCCGACAAAATGATTGATCGAATACAAAATTAATACCCGGGGTTATACACCAATTATCTCGACAAGAAATTTCTTGTGTCTATAAATAAATACCGTTGTACAATGAATGTATGTGTCTATCAAACCTCGAAGCAAAGGCGTTTATGTATGAGATTTTTTTTTCTCGGTAGGTAATTGGTGTTAATGTGTGCAGTTATGAGGGCCTTAATTGGCTTGTGGATAATTCTCTTTCAATACCTCATTTAATCGCAAGTCTACCGAGAAAGTTTTTTTATAGAAGCTAGACGATAGCTTATATGAATATAGGGTGTAATATTCGGATCATAGAAACAACACTTCGTGATACCATATACCATGATACCCAAAACTGACCCTTGTGGATTACTCATTATCGTTGTTTCAGCCTGCTACTTCCCGAGGGTACTGACTAGGTTTTTTGGATGTTATATAATAATAATTAATGACTTTTTATTTGTAGTAATACTAAAGCAGGCGAGATTTAGATACTGTATCTATTCTTCCACCTAAATGTATAAAATCATAGCAAACATATTAGATGCTCAAAATATTGTACGTTATTTTGTAGGCAAAGCAAGGTTACCAGTGCATAGCCAGGCAGAAATCCTAAGCCACTACTGCAGTTTCGGGAATCTTGGATCACCCCTTATAATTATATATGAATCATTCATCAATCATTTAATTGTCACTCAAATGTAAAACCACTTAAGAAGGTTTTCCGGTGGTTTTTCTATTTTCTCTTTGATCTATTTTACTTAAAGCACATCTTTCAAGCAACCATGTCTTCAGATAACGCAGCTGATCCAGATGAAGATTCCTCACAACCCACTTCTGAAAATCTGGACACAGATGGTATGTCTGTATTTTTTTCTGGACATTTACGTACAGCTAAACATTTAAACCTAGCACAAAAAGTGTCCTACCTCTCTACACTTTTTGTCGAAAATTTGTCTCCAAAATTTCAAGATCATCCGTAGCTGAATTCATTCTTAAGGCCACAAAAAATATGTTTCAACAGTTTTTAAATTCCCCTCCTAGTTATAAAAATCCAGTCCACACAGTCGTAAATCTGCCTTAGATCACAAAGTTAAATATCTTTCTTTGTTCTGATGTTACACTTAATTTTAATGATTATACCTAAGTGAGGTATATAAAGCAGTTTGGCTGACGACTAGTCAGAATATTAAGACAGGTCTCTTTCAACCTGGTTCAAATTAAATGTGATTGAATTTAATGTCAGTATAGGTAGTATCTACGCATGTGCTAGGGAAAGTATTATGATTCAGTTTCTTGCATAGACTTATTCAAAAAGGACACCCTACAATAAATCCGTCTATTTCCAGATATAAAATTGCGTCAAAAAATGTTTGAACAATTTTTCTGAACAAATTCCAAAAACTGTTTTTTCGTTACTACCTTTTAGGTTAGGTTTGAACCACTGAATTCAGTCTAGGTAACATGAGCCACTCAAGGATTTATTTGTCTCCTCATTCTCATAGTCTGGAGTCAGAATCAAAGTGCACTTAACATAATTCAATTTCTTGACAGTTCATTAAGTTCGTGAATTTAGTTATTTTTTGAAAGTGCGAGTGTTTGCAGATAATACGATGTCAAGACATAGAGCGGCACAAGCCTAATTAAGGTATTATTATTATTTTGTGGATACGATGTAACTTTGATAGGCATTTGTAATCAAATGGGTCAAAAATATGCACTAAGATTACGCAGGTGTGGCGACAAAAAGCTATTTGAATTCTTTGTTTTGAACAAAACCAGTTCTCGAGCACTTTTCTCTAAAGCTGATACAAGCGATTTAATGTTTTAAGAAGTGCGAAATATAACATTTTCGATCCGAAATTTAAATATGAAAAATTGGCAAGAAGGTTGACACTGCACTTAGCTATGAATACGTATATTACTAAATTAAGTAGTTCAAGTCAAACATTCCTATACATATTACCACTGACGTAAAAACAAAAATTATAATGTTGCCAAAGCTTCTAAATGTTTTGCAAAAATACATCAAAAAATCTACAACATTTTAGAGGGTATTGTTATTGTAAACCTTCACTCTTTAATTGTTAATCAAGAATGTTCTTGCGCGAGCACGCAACCAACAATTAAAATCGAACGTTTACAATGACAATACCTTTCAAAAAGCTATGGAATTTTGCGAATCGGTGTTTGCAAAATATTTAGGAACTTTTGCGATATTAAAATCTTCGTTCTTGTTTATAGTTCTTCTTGACTGAATATTACTTACTTTTTCAAATATTAAATCGTTTATATATTGAAAACTATGCAGTCTTAAGGTATACTTTGTGCATAATAACCTAAAAAAACGAATAAAGCTCTATCCGGAGCAAAACATTGAAACAATTTTTCATGCAAGTTTGGCATGCAGATTCGATAAGCAAGCTCTTTTTTGAATATGTTTCTTCAAAAAACAGAATTAAAATACCTTTCGGAGCAGATACTTGAGATACTTCCAGGACTCTGTGGCAATTTTTGATTGTTAACTTTTTTTCGTCGATAGAAGTGACGTCCGTCAACGATCCTCAATCTGGGCCTTCCAGTAGCGAAACATCTGGAACGTTATATGACCCAACATTTTCAGATAGCACGGTGAGTTGCTTTCGTTTTAGATAACACAAATATTGTCGGACCGTAGGTAAAAGTAGAATCATTCTCAGAAGGGATCGCCTCAGATGTCAAGGTGGCTGGTCACGTTTTTTTAAGCTTTTCCTGTGGCCGCTGATTGTATTTTTGTGATAGTCTGTAGTGAAACATGCTTTAATAATGCTACTATTAGGTTTTATACACTTTATTTAAACATTTACTAATTTCAGCGACGAGTAAGTTGTCTTATAGTTTAGATCCTTCCCGTATTGGTTGCTAGTATCATATTTGTGTTTTTAGCTCCTGAAGATGGCTTCATAGAGAATGCGGAAAGCTCGTGATTATCGTTAGAATAGTTTACTAAAGCCTAAAAAAAATGTGACAATTTCCCAATTAGCAATTAGTTGTATTTTTGCCCAACTGGTAGTTGGCAATGGCAATGACTACTGCTCGTATATATATATATACAGGGTACTTTGAAGTTGAGTCATTAATTTTCAGATAATGATTGTAGAAGGGAGATAAACCAAAATATGTGTGTAAAAATAAAAAAAAAATTACCTTGTTTTATAAAGTATCCTCCCGACAAGTATTTCAGTGCGGACCTGTATTTGATCGCGAGGTCTTGGAGCACCGGCATGCCGTCTTAAGTCACCTGATTCACGAGCCCGTTGTACTACATTAACAAAGGCACGAGGGGTTGGTTGCACTCGATTGGGAAACCGATCGGCATAAACATGTGCCATTTTTTATTTCGTTTGAGCCACGCAACAGACACCACTATTCACTAAGGCGTTACCGACTGACACTGACTGTATACAACACAACTGAATAAAATAATTGTAAAAACATCGTTCCAAATTCTTTCGCTTTTTTGTTTCCGATGCGATGAACCGATGGCGGATTATATCCGTTGTTGCCAAACACGAGCACATAATATTATCATTGAGACAGGGCGGTACTCTAACTTCCAAAGGGCTATAACTTTGTTACTTTAATTTTACCAGAAAAATGGTAAAGGAAAAAACATTTCTTTTGATCAGATCTACTCACTGTTAAAATAAATGACTCAACTTCGAAGTCATCCTGTATATATATATATATATATATATTCATAGTTAATTGCCTTAACTGTTAGGAGAAAATTTCCTTAAATTTCTTTGGATAGGAGGCAAAGGAAGGAAAGATGAAATCTCGAAGGATTTTTCAATAGTTGATAGATTTTCAAGTTCCTCCAAATCAATCAGTGTTTGAAATTAAAAAACAGCTATAGTTTGACATTTGTTAATAATATTAAAATAATTCCGTCCTAATCGAATCTCATCGGTCCAGTTTCTTGTTCGTCGACTATGTGTTCCCTTTCACTGTCGTTTAAGAACAATTTCAACAACAATCTCGCCAACTTAGTAAGTAATTATATTATTTTTCTACTAATTGTTTATTGTTGCTATTTTTCAAAAATTATTTTTTAGCTCCAGACGATGATGACATAGACCACCAAGCTCGAGTTCAAGTTGTAAGAGTGTACTTATGCAAAACGTTGCCTTCTACCCAAAGAAAATCAAGTATATATATATATATATATATATATATACATACATATATATATATATATATATAAATATATTTAAATTACGCACACACTTACGCAACACAGGTGTTTTGATGGCATCTTTTCCTGAAAAACAACAAGTGGTTTTAAGCTCGGTATTTCCTAAATTTCCTACAACTGAGTTAAATGATGAGGTATGATTGAAGTATGTCTTTATTTATATATCAGGCAACCCCTATCGGTTATAAAAAGCGTAAAAAGAAATTTCAAAAAAAAATGTCTTGAAATCATGTTATATTGATATATTTTACATTACTATTTATAGCTTGAATTTTTTTATCCAGTAAATACTTGTACATAGCAATTTAAGCATATTTTCCATTATACCTCCATACTGAATAAGGATATTGATCTGCGGTTTTCGCCACTTCGTTGTATTTGAAATTTTAGAAGGAATTAAAAAAAAGCATTGACACGTCCATTAAAAGTTATCTAGTGGCCACAAAGTGAACTAATTTGACAAGATTCAGCCTTCGGTAAAAGATCTGAATTTTCTGTTTTCGGTATTTCCGATAGAAGTTCCGAAAAATCGGTGTGTTCGGTAACACTGCAGGCCAGCCAATTTTCACGAAACGATTTCTCCATAAGCGACCCTGGATCCGCCCTTGTTCTCAATTAATGTGGAGGGCACAAAACTCTGAAGCCGGCCCTGATTATCAGCTTCTCATCAGTGGTCTGGTGACTCCATATCTACAGATCTAAGTACTCATATAATTCTCAAAGAAAAGTTAAGGCTCGATGAATTCTGTGGATATAAACAAATGTCATCAAAAAACACATAGTAATTATACACGGAGATAGAGACGCGACTATTCTTAAAAAAGACTATTAAAATCCAGCACGGCGAGTTTTTCTGAAAACTTTTATACTTTACATTGAGACAATTCAGGCCGAATAGGATTAAGTAGTGACCACAATATGCATCACTGTCTTGTTGATATATTGTATCGCATGCATTGTAGAAATTTCTTTACTCCCCTCTTTTACTAAATTATATCCTCATTTCCAAGAAGAAGCTTCTGACCGTTAGAGACTGTGTCCATGTACATTAATGATAGGATGATACGCCCTGTTGGGGCCTAACGGAAATTCCTTCTTGCAAAGAACGGTTCAGTCCGAACCTGTACGGTGTACGCGTCGATTTACCACGTCCTGACGCTGTAAACGGCGGTGGGTGCGACTTATCTAGCGGACGCTGAAAATTGTGCTGGAGATTTTGCAAAGTGTCGCTCCTAAGTTGTCTATTCTGTGCTCAGAGCTTGGTAACGTTTTGACTAAACATTGACAAACCGGACCTGAGTTATCGTCATAAGCTACACATTTTGTAGCAGCGATGAGAAAGTGTTGTAATCCATCTGAAATTGTACCCGGTCAAAATTGATAGCATTTTCTGACGTATTCATTAATTTTACAGAGGATGTCTATCTATCAATAAAAAAAGCATAAACTATTGTCTCAGAATTGTCTGACTTGCTGTTTTTTTTAAATAAAAGTATTACGCCATGTTTTTTATCACACGTTCGGCATAAACAATCATTATTATATGAAACCTATATCAAGGTTTTACAGTATCCTTACAAATATACTGAATGATCGACGAAAAGTAACAAAAAAAATAATGAATTCAGTGTGATTAAGTACTCGTATATGTCTTATACAGGGTGACTTTGAAGTTGAGTCATTAATTTATAGATAATGATTGTAGAAGGAAGATAAACTAAAATATGTGTGTAAAAATAAAAAAAAAATTAAAAAAAATTTTTACCTTGTTTTATAAAGTATCCTCCCGACAAGTATTTCAGTGCGGACCTGTGAGGTCTTAAGTCATCTGATTCACGAGCCCGTTGTACTACATTAACAAAGGCACGAGGGGTTGGTTGCACTCGATTGGGAAACCGATCCGCATAAACATGTGCCATTTTTTATTTCGTTTGAGCCACGCAACAGACACCACTATCCACTACCGACTGACACTGACTGTATACAACTGAATGAAATAATTGTAAAAACATCGTTCCAAATTCTTTCGCTTTTTTGTTTCCGATGCGATGAACCGATAAGGCGAATTATATCCGTTGTTGCCAAACACGAGCACATGATATTATTATTGAGACAGGGCGGTACTCAAACTTCCAAAGGGCTATAACTTTGTTACTTTAATTTTACCAGAAAAATGGTAAAGGAAAAAAACATTTCTTTTGATCGGATCTACACACTGTTAAAATAAATGACTCAACTTCGAAGTCACCTGTATATGGAAGTAAAACAACACGGTAGGTGGTTTTAAATGACTTCATTGTTTTTCGAAGTATTCTCCACGAAATTTAATACACATCTGCATGCGTTCGAACCAATTTTCGAAGCACTTATTCCACTCGTTTGCTGGCAGATCCAAAACGGCGTTTTTACTAAAGAGTGAGGTTAAGATTCAGTACTGACGTTCGATCCGCGCGGCCTACTATGTTTCTAAAAGACACCCCTCGTACTATGACCATTGCTTTTGTTATAAATTAAAACACAGTATCCATATGGTTTCTAAGCAAGAATACAGGAAGTACGGGTAATTTACTATGTTTTCATCTAATGTTGTGCAGATACTGGATTGTCATTTAAGATGATCATAAAAAAGCTATAAAATAAAACTTTCAGATTTTCAGTAATTATCATAGCTTATACTGTATTTTGTCATCAAAATATGCCTCTGCTACGTGTCTTTCATATTGTAATGACGATACTATCATTTTCACATTTTTTGCACTTACTGCGTTCTGGCTTATGACAGCAGTGAGTCTCTATTATTTAATTAAAAAGGTCAAAGACGAGAGCTCTCTAATTCACTTTACATTTTTTTTTGCCAAAAAGGAGTCTGAGAAAGTGACTATCAGTACCCTTCGTCTAGAAAGAGTTACGCCATTTTCCGACCTCAATGACATCGAGTTCCTGGAAATGATGTACGAGGAAGAAGAAAAAGCTAGACATTTGAATATAGAAAACGAAATTTTCACGCTTTTCCTCAAGGAAAACGATCCGTTCGCTGTGGCTGAACTTGAACACTTATTTTTGGCAGCTCTCACCCTCAAGTCTGCGATGTCTCAGAGATCAGCAAGTAAGTGGGGGAAAGTTTCAGGAAAACGGAATACAGGGTTCGTTCGGAAAGTAATAGGACTCATTTTCTTCAGCCATAGCTAACGAATGAGCGGCTGGTTAGTGGTCAGTTGTCTCCGAGCACTTGGAGAGTCAGGACAGGCATTTTCGCGCGATGTGTTTCTGTGAGTGGTGCAAGCCGAAAATGCAGAGTTCGTTAGAGCAGAGGTCCGCGATTAAATTCTGTGTGAAACTCGGTAAATCTGCGACAGAGACGTTTCATATGATCAAGCAGGCTTACCCAGGTGTTGCTTTAGCAAGAAGTGGTGTGCTTCAGTGGCACCAGGCCTTTTTGGAGGGCTGGGAAGAGGTCGCTGATGACCTTCAACTTCGACAAACACCGATAATGTGACTCGTGTGCGCAAAGTTTTGAACTCAGACCGTCGACTAAGTATTCGTTTAATTGCCCAGATGTTAAATTTACCAAAATCTGTGGTTCATGACATTGTGACACAGCATTTGAACATGCGCAAGGTGTGCGCGAAGATGGTCCCAAAAGTGCTCACTGACGACCAGAAATTGCGGCGAGTGGAAGTGTGCCAAGAAAATTTGAACATGTGTTAAAGTGACCCTCAATTTTTGAATAACGTAATCACAGGTGACGAGTCGTGGATCTTTGAGTATGATCCCGAGACAAAGAGGCAATCTTCTGAGTGGCACACGACGGCGTCTCCTCGCCCAAAAAAGGGAAGAATGAGCAAATCCAAAGTGGAAACGATGCTCATTGTCTTTTTTGACATCCAAGGCATCGTCCACCATGAATTTGTTCCTCCTGGACAAACTGTCAACGCCAAGTTTTACGTGTTTTCTCGCCTGAAAAGTCCGATGAAAGGCAAGCATTTTGAGACGACAAAGGGGATCCAAGCAGCATGCACCGCGGCTTTCAAGGCTATTCCGGAGAATGCCTTCCGTGACGCCTTCAATGCTTGGAAATCGCGCTGGCAGCGCTGCATCGACGCAGGAGCCTATTTTGAAAAAGAATTGTAACGATTGGCTCAATAATCTTTTTTAAATCGACTCAGTCCTATTACTTTCCGGACAAACCCTGTATGCTCTTTGTAAGGCCAACCATTAAAATGTCGTAGTTTTTTTCACGCGATGACAAATTCCTCATACTCAGTCTAACACCCATCGAACCCAATAAGACAGACGGGGCACGGCGCATCTTTATCGTTTGTCGACGTTAATATTGTCATACGAGCTCACAGCAAAACGTAAGTTCTCAAATAAAGAAACCATTTTTTGCTTTGAATCGCTTGAAGTTTATATACAGGGTGGTCCATCCATGTGTGGACGGAATATTACTCGTAAACAAACAGATTTTGGGAAAATCTATTTATGGCATGTTATACATGGATGATCCACCCTCTATAAGTACTTGCAATGGTACTAAACAAAAAAAATATATGACAACGTCGACGCCTATTCTTCAACAGAAAGTAGTGGAAGTTCGGTGTTTGGGAGCTCTGCATATATTGCTGCCGGTAAAAGCAGATCTGAAAATGCGTCTAGCGCTAGCATACTACAAATGATGTCTTCAAGAGGACCCAAGATTAATCTGTCTACCAAAACCGAAATGGTTGTCAGGGCTTTTGAAGATAAACAGGTTAGTATGATGAAAGCTACACTATGCTAAACTACAAGTATACTAAGTGACATATAAATCCGAACACGCAGTTTAAATGGTTTTATTTTAATAAAATTTTGTATAAGTACTTAATGAAGCATAATAAGTAAATGATAAAATTTTCAAAATGATTGCACTGCTTTAAAGCCCTTTGACCTTTAATAATGTGTGGATGCACCCTGATGTGCTACGCATTCTCCAACGCGCCTAGGCATGCTTCTGATCAGGTGGTCAATGTCCTCCTGTGGTATCTCATTCCAGGCCACCACCAACTCCTCTCGAAGTGCTTCTAGAGTCTGAGGAGGACGTTGCAAATTGAGCAATCTCCTACCCATCATATCCCACACGTGCTCAATTGGGGATAAGTCGGGAGATCTTGGTGGCCATGGTAACAATGTGACATCATTATGTTGAAAGAAGTCTATTGTGACTCTTGCAACATGTGGTCGGGCATTATCTTGTTGGAAAGTTGGATCTGCCAGGGTGTCAAGATAGGGTAAAAAATCGGATTCTAGAACTTCGTGGATATAACGCTGCGCGTTCATGTTACCTCTGATGAAGATTAAAGGTGACCTGGAACCATAAGCTATAGCACCCCAAACCATAACTCCAACAGTGTGATGAACATGTCTTTCAACAAAAAACTGTGGATTCCTCCTTTCACCACGTCGCCTTCTAACCCTGGCACGACAATCGTGCATGCCTAAACAAAAGCGAGACTCGTCATTAACGACAATACTGTTCCATTCCTGATCCCAGAGTGACCGTTGTCTGCACCACTCAAGGCGATTACGTCGGTGTTCTCGAGTTAAAGGGAGGACCCAGTGTGGCCGGTATGAAAACAAGCCAAAACTTCTCATTCGTCGGTAAACACTTCGCATGCCAATAGGTCTTCCGTGTTCTGCAAACCATTCATTTGCAATGGACCTGGTAGTGGAGAAACGGTTCCTTAAGGCCAATAATCTTAGGCGGCGATCTTCACGGTCTGTTGTTCTACGGCGGCGTCCAGTGCCCCTTGCTCTTTGCGTACGGCCTTCTCGAAGCCATGCTTGACAACACCTAACCACAGTGTCTACACTTCTTTACACTCTAACTGCAATTGCCCGAAAAGAAAGTCCAGCTTCTCGAAGTCCAACTATACGGCCCCTATCAAACTCACTAAGTTGACGAAATCGTACAGGTCTCCGTACTCTAGGCATCGCAAGCGATCGTAAAGGATGTCAAGAACCAAAATCCGTCAACGTTGATTCTTTACTGCGGCTGAAATATTCATTTTTAGAGCGTTAGTGAATTAAAAAAAAGCAGTATAAAAACCGGAATGCCCAACTGATAAGGCTGAAATTTTTTTCACTTGTTATTTACAGTAAGATATATACATTCACCAACTTTTATTAAAATAAAACCATTTAAACTGGGTGTACGGATTTATATGTCACTTAATATATATGGCGAAAATAATCCAAAGTCGACACCTCCTCGGAACAAACGGTCTGCGGCACCGAGTGCACTCTAACTCGCTCAGCTACCCGCTGCCAGAACGCATCCGCTCATCTCCGGCCAGCCGCGATCGAACTGTCAGCTCACTTTTGTCTAAACCTTTTGTGAATTTATGGAATCCTCATTGTTTGTGTCAAAATCCGACAAACAGCACATCGACTTTGTGATTACGTAAAGGAAGATCCAGTTCTACAGTATATTCAGATAAGAGATAGACCGGACATAAACAAGACCACGTGATCATCGAACGCTGTAACATTCGGCAGGGACGTATTAAGAGTCACGCAGTACATATTTTTGATAGTAGATGCTGCTTTGCGTAACTTTGTAGTAAATTAGCACAATTCGATGTGTATACGATTGGTGATGGATATAGGATCATGTGGGGGTGGGGTAAGAAATATATAATGATGTAAATATACATAAGGGTTTCAAAATTTTCGCTTCGATTTCCAGCTTCGGATGCCGCCTGATGTTTGGTGAAATACAGTCGAATATAATCTCAAAATGGCGTTTAAATTAGACTAAATTAAAAATAATCGTATATCTCTTAAAATTGCTTTTAGAATATTGATTAGTATATTTTTTGATTTCTAGGTAAATATGTAGCCAAATTAAAACGTTCAAAACGTAAAAAAATGTGCATGGTTGAACATTGTCAGAAAGTAGATTCTTGAATAGGTTTTGCCAAAATGGGTTCAAAAATGTCAATAATTAATTAAAAAATACAGTAGCTTTATAATTACTTATACCTTACCGAATTTGATGAACGACATCTTTTATTGGAAAGATGAGCTTGATGAGCTTTCATCATCGCTACTGCCTGAAGCACCAACGTCAATAATGAATGGCTCGACTTGTTCCTCTAAAATATTGTCCAGTTCCCACATTCTCTTTTCAACTTTGTCTTTCACGTGCTTAATACAGTTTTCCCATTTTTGCGCTGTTATTAATTCTAGTGCTTCTTTGAAAAGTCCTTTGAGGTCACAAAATTTAAAAGTTGTATTATTATTATATATATTATTATATAATTTTTAACCTCTGCCCATATGAGCTCAATGGGATTGAGCTCGCAATGGTATGGAGGTAAACGGAGCACAGTTTTATTTTGACTTGCTGCCATTTCGTCAATGGCGTATTTTTGATATTCCGCCTTGTGATCCTTGACAATTCTTAATAATTGTACTTTCAGCATTGCTTCTTCAAAGTTGATATTTTTCGAGCGGAACCAATTTTGAACATCAACTTTCCTTGAAGCCGTTGTTGGGACCTTCTCCATTCTTCAAGAATGATAAGGCGCATTATCCAACACAATTACTGCGTTTTCCTCTAAGTTCGGTAAAATTTTTGAAAACCACTGTTCAAACGATTCGCCATTCATTTCCTCGTGGTAATCTCCAGTTTTCTTAGACTCAAAGCACCACAGACCGTCAACAACAAATCCATCCTCACTGCCAATATGGCAGATAATGAGCCTTTTCCCTTTACCTGGAAATCGAAGTACTAACTGGTGTAGATTTATTTCAATAAGCGAACCTTTTTCAAATGTTTTCATCACATTCAGCGAAAAAACATTGAGACATGAGTATCAGATTGCTATAATTGGGATTATTTAGTCATATTGAAAGAAAGAATATTGAACGTCGTATGATTACTCAGCACTTCACAATTTAATTTAAAGTTATAAACCTTTAAAAAATGAATGATCAGGAACCTGAAATACGCGCAAATATTAATATTAACAAATTATAACTTTATAAAGCTTAAAGTATGAATTAAAATGATTAGAAATATTAGGAACGGTACACAATATAAAACTTAGTAACTTTTTTTAAGTTTATAATATTCGACATATTTTAAGATTATATTAAAAAATTATTGAAATATCGAAAACACATAAAAACATGGCTTAAAAAAGTTCTAACAAATGAAAATGACAATAAAACATCCACGCATTTTATCGAAAGTTATAAAAGTTTTGTTACTTGTAATATGTTTTATCTGCCCCCTGGAATTAATGTTTAGAACCTTGTTCCCAAGGTTTGAAAAACATCCGATTGTTGTCTATTACTCGTATTTACCTGCTGGATTTTTTAATCCGGTGGACAGTCCATCTAGAAAGGCCCTCCTGGATGAAGTTACAGAATCATCAACCCATACTTTACTTGTAGTGTGTCCTGCGTTTACCCACGTTTCATCAAGGTAATAAATCTTCCTGTTTTGATTTCTATATTTCTCAATTTTTGTTAAATAATCCCTCCTCCATAGCACAATTTCTCCTCTATCCAGTAGTAAACTATTACGACCCCGTTTTTTCCATTTGAAATTTAAATGCTTCAGTAACGCATGGAAAGTTGATCGTTTGAAATTTGGCAACGTTGTATCTCCATTTACCTCCTTCAGTACTTTATCTATAGTAGGTATTTCATTCCTAAAGAAGAATTCGTGCACTTTCCTCCTAATCGCATGCTTATCAGCTTCATCCAATGATTTAACAATACTTTTGCGATGTTTACTGGTCATTGGCTCAGAAAAGGTGTGATTTTTTTTGTATTGTCTTAACACATTAAACACTGATGCGCGACACACCCCAACTTTGTGAGAAACCTTCACAACAATTTCTTTGATGGTTGATGCCTCGTTCTCCTCGCGCTCGATCTTATATATATTCAAGATGACCTCTTTCATTTCTGCACTCAGGTGTCTTTTTTTAGAGCGTTTCCTAGGTGGACTACAGGAGTTTACAACTTCATCGGCAGTATCTGTACTACTGGGCATTTTGCGCAAGCAGTTGATAACAATAACAATCAATAACAAGGTATAACAATAACAACGACAAACTCAACAACTTAATAAGATAACAAACGAAAACGTCCAAAGAAATATCAAATTGCAATGATGCACACGACATACGTAACACGTCTGAACCTGAATGTGACTCTGCCTTGATACGACTGCTCTGCCGCTCGGCATAGGCATTTAATTGCGAATTGACCAATGAGGGCTCCTGTTTTACGTCGAGACGGCGGCGTTAGCGTGAAAATCACCCGAACCTTTTGTTTACATCCGGTCTATCTCTTATCTGAATATACTTTAGGTTCCACTATTTGATTTTTCTGATAGTCCGCCATGGCAACGTTCAAGAAGAAAGCCCACGCGACCCGGCGAAGACTCAAATGTGAATTAGAGGAATTCAATCAACGCGAAGATGACATCACTGATTCAATGGCGGCGTTCGAGTACAACATTGTCACTCAAGGTGTCGACCCGTTGACTCAGAGGATTCCTGCTGAGAAGTTTCTCAACTATATGTACGCTTGGCTGAAGAACTCTATGCAGAACATCGAGAAAATGAGGTAGCAGATCATTTTCTTACTGACTCCCATGAAATCTTCACCAAAATCAAATCTACCCTCCCTTTACGGGTAACCTTGAATCTAAAATGCATTTTGTACCGAAAAGCGAAAATGTCACAGCCTACTAGAAATAATTCCTCCGAATGATGGACTACCACCAACGTGTTGTAAAACAAAGACGACAGTATTTAACAGAAACAGAAACTTAACTAATTACACAAATACACTTAACAACAACAACAGCAACAACCAAGCAACGTGAATACGAAAACACGGGCACGCAGTGATACACGCGACGGACGGTGGCCTGAGTGCAACTCTGCCTGCCCTGCCCCTGCCCCGCGCATTATTCCGCCAGGCGACCGCTTGAAATTTAATGGCGAATTGACCAATAAGAGGCGTCGTCCCCACCTGTTACCGAGAGATCACGCGCTAACTGTTATTATTTACATCTTGAATTTGGATTCAGTTTAGAGAATCTAATAATGTCGTATACAGAGTATTGAGCATATTTACTCATGCTTAGTTAAGAAAATCGAAATTAAGAAATCATGCGGTAAAACTTCATTTATATAATTTATATATTATGGCTTTAAACTGCAATTATAGCTAAGTAATAATAACGTTGGATATGCAATATTTTTTTTTCTAGAATAAAACAGATTCTAGCAGCTGTAAGGTTTTGTTCAAAATTTCAATTGTTGATTAAATTATTGATGATGAGCATTGTATTTTTGGCCACGACCGAACGAATAAAGCAAGACACTGAAATATTTCAAAAAAGCTCCAAAGAGTATTTCTTAAAGTTCTATTTTTGTCTTGAAGTATTTGAGAAAGGCCTGTAAACGTTGTTTTTGTAGTTTCGTGCACTTTTCAACTTTCAGAATTCAAAATATTTGTTAGAAGGCTAAAAATATTGCCATCCCAAAGCGTAACTGATTTTGATAGAACTATCTTACGTCTCAGAATCAAAATATACTATGAACGAAAACTCGTTACTTCCAAAAATAAGAAGAAGCTGTTTCGGTATCTAAGAACAAACCTGAATTCCAAAGTTTCATCACCTCAGATCCGCGACGCTGACGGTCATCTCCACATGGATGCCACCGAATCTGCCAACTTACTGGCAGAGTCCTTCAGTGATGACTTCGTCGATGAGCCTAATGGAGACCTTCTACCGACCACTATCTGCCATAGGTGTCCCAACAGCCTTTGCGAAGTTGAGTTCCTGCCTGAAGATGTATTAATGCACCTGCGAAATCTGAAGAACTCTTATTCCCCTGGTAAAGATGGGATGACGGCTGCTGTACTTAAAAACTGCGCTTCAGCACTGGCCCTACCATTAAGCTTGATATTCACATCGTCTTTTAGATCTCATACCCTACCCTCATGCTGGCTTAGTGCTTCTGTTACCCCTGTATTCAAAAAGGGCGACAAATCCTCGGCTAAAATTATCGACCAATAAGTCTCGTTCCTATCGCCGCCAAAATAGCTGAAAGAATCATATTAGATAAGCTCCTGTCATTTGCTTTCGAAAATGACCTTGCAAATCAGCATGGATTTCTCCCTGGTCGATCAATAATGACCAACCTTCTCCACTCTCTCAACGATTGGACTCAGTATCTGGACACAAAGACTCCTGTTGATATAATCTACTTAGATTTTTCTAGGGCTTTCGATCGCGTACCACATAGAAGGTTTCTGTTTAAGTTGGAATGTATGGGAATAAGAGGCGAGTTGTTACTGTGGATTAAGGCTTTTCTCACCGGGAGGACTTTCTCTGTGCGCGTCAGTGATAGCCAGTCTCACCTTCATCATGTAGCAAGTGGAGTTCCTCAAGGCTCTGTCTGGGGGCCAGTGCTGTTCCTTCTGTATACAAGTGACCTGCCCGCATTGATTTCCTCCACATGTTCAGCTTATGCCGACGACACCAAGATTTACAATACTGTCGTAAATTCTGCTATGCTTCAACGAGATCTTGATATTGTTTGTCAATGGTCAGTCAGTTGGCTTTTAACGTTAAATCTAACTAAGTGTTGTGTCCTTCACCTCGGGGAGACAAATCCGCGATTTACATACAAGATCTCTGATCACAACATCGAAGCAGTTTCCAGCCACACTGATCTAGGCGTTGTAGTCAACGATCGTCTTTCCTGGTCAGAGCATATTCACCACGTTACATCAAAAGCCAAGAAACTTCTATACATGCTGGAGAGGTCTTTCAAAGGATCCGATGTCAACACTTGCGCCTACATTTACAAGGCATTCGTGAGGCCAATTCTTGAATTCGCTGGCCCGGTATGGGACACTGTGCTTCTGCGCGATAGAAATCTCGTCGAATCAGTACAGCGTCGGGCTACTCGTATCCCTTTTGGAGCACGAAGACCAAGCTATGAAGATCGCCTTGAATTATTCAACCTGACCTCATTCTCTGAACGAAGACTTCGTGGCGATCTTATAGTTACGTTCAGGATACTTCATGGTTTGATGGGCACCAACCTCATACATCTATACCATCTGTCGCGCAGCAATCTACGCGGACACAGCTTCAAATTGCATAAGGAGCCATTTAAAACAACAGTCCGACAGTGGTTTCTTCCCAACCGCATATTCAACACCTGGAATAGTTTACCTGAAAGTGTGGTTGGTGCTACTTCAGTTAATAGCTTCAAAGTGCAGTATGATAGCTGGAGGAGTGTACAAACTTTATAGCTATGAACTGTCTTTTTTTATTTTTTTCTATTTGATGTATTTGTGTTACGTGTCCGTACACTATATTTACTGCATGAGCTTATAGTACTGTGTACTCTGCTCATCTCAATTATCATAATAATAATAATAATAATATAAAATGCAACACCGAGAATTATTTTTTGTGGCGTATTACGTAATTTTTTCTATTTCTAGATTGAGAACGTCTTCGATGAGACTCCAACACAGTAAAACGAAATCCTTGCTGGCTCAACGCAAGGAGTTAAGCTTGAACGTCACAGCGGTGGACTTTGACAGGCTCGAGATCGAAAATAAGCATTTCCAGAAGAAGATCGAGCAGAAAAACGAACACCTGTTCCAGCTGAAGAAAATGACCGCCGGTATCAATCTGGTGATCACTCAGCACAGGAAGTACATGCAAGGCCAGACTGATTACTTCACCAAAATCAGGAACGATGTCAAGAAGATCAACAAACGTACAGACGAAATCAACTGGGAGGCTGACCATGTGAGAATTGAATAATTTACCTAGAAAATACATTGTTGGAACATTGCGCGATGGAGGGAGCCTTAACGGTGAAGATCATTACAATACACTGAAGTGAACAACAAGATTTCAGATAAACGTCTTTGCGGTAGCGGGGTACCGCAGGGATCCATCTAGGGACCACTGTTGGGTCCTATATTTGTCAAAGATTTCAGTAACAACGAACACATCATTCAATGGCAACAACTCCATTAAAATCTCAATGATTGACGTATTTCAGGTACAAAACGAACTAGACAAGGCTGAAGAGACATACGATTATTTTCTAGGATTACAGAAGTCTTACAAGGTGCCAGATGTGATGGAGTACGTTAAGCTGAAAGGCGAACTACGTGAAGTTCAAAAGTCTATCAAGATCTGGAAAAGGAAGAAATACATTCAGGGCAAGTAGGAACATATTTCTACTGATCGTGTAAGGCGTGCCATGCACAGCGTTGCCAGATGAGACAGGATTTCCCCAGAACAAGCACAAAAATCCCCCAGATTTTCAACTTTTTGAAAAAGAATCCTTCAAGTCTCACTTCAAAACTTTATAAAAAATGACCAAAAACTAGCATTCTCAATAATATGGCTGTGGTGCCCACTGAGACGCCACTGGACTTGATCACTTCCATCTATTCCAAGCTAAATAAGCGCCTTATTATTTTCAAAGTCTTGCACCAAACTTCAATTCAAATTTTTTTCTATTTCGAAGGTTTTATTTTCTATTTCGTAGATCTGGCGATGGACGCAGCCCTCAGAGAAATGAAACACTTGACTGGCTCGAAACGCGTGGACAAGAACTGGCTGAGAGATCCAGAGGAAGTACTTGGGTACAACATCAACACTCAAAACTCTGTACCCGATTTGACTACGCTCTGTCTAAATCCAGAAAAATATGATAAACATAGTTAATATTTTGTTTTTTTAATTCCCCTACGTTTGTCCGGCCAACTAGACCACATATACCTATTTGAAATTCTTCTTTAATGCAGTACACGTCTCTGTCAAAAAAGTGACCTTCAGTTCATGACACTTTTGACAATTGTCATAGTTATTCGCTCAGTTGCGTGCGAAGGTTTTTTCGTCCGTGACTAATATGAACTTGCAACAGTCACTCACCAACAGCCTTGGAGACTTGCACTTGTCTGACCTCTTTCCTAATGCTTGTTGAAGCATTTCCTTCTACAAGATTCAAAACTCCTTCCTATGATTGCACCATTCGGGGTCCTTAATGATAACATCTGGGAAAGCGATCTGCATACACTTGCGAAGCCTCGGTAGCACTTTGAAGACGCTCACCATAAATTATTTTGATAAGCTCGGTACGAGTGGGCTATTTTGTTATTTTGGAACTGATTGGTAAATAAAAGTTCTGTTAACCGTATCGCTTTTGAACTGATCGAGATACAGGAGGTTTGGTTTAGGCTTGATTGATTTGATCTCGGTTATCTTAAGACCTTGATTTATACAGTGTGACACTGTGTAATTTAATTGATGAATAAACATACAAGATTATGATTCTTTATCTCGTTTTAGGAAGAAAAGTTTATATGAACATATGTCCTAGCTTTTGAGCTACAGAGTTTTAAAATTTTAAGAAAAAATTGTTTTCTCATAACTTTTGATACTGTTCTAGATATTTTCATGAAATTTGACATGCACCTGCTAAGCACCAATAGGCATTTTTTGATTTAGAATATTTTTTTATATTTCTACCAGTGGCGTCCGTAAGGATGTACACTGGAGATTTAAAAAAATGGTACGGCACTGCTTTTTCCGAAAATAAAAATCAATTGATTAAAATAGCCAAAATGGTTTATATTTTTTTACGCGAAAATGGTGCGTCTAACGGAAAAAGGTCAATAGGCCAAATTCACTGCAAAATAAATGAGGATTACGAAAATATTTTTTTAAAGGATGAAATGGCGTACTATATTTTTGTACTGATGCCACTGGTAGAAACATTAAAAAATATTTTAAATCAAGAAATGCCAATTGGTGCTTAGTAGCTGCAAGTCAAATTTCATGAAAATATCTAGAACATATCTTGTATTTTTAGCCATCGTATAAATTACGCAGTGTAAAGAAAAGTGCCAACATTATAAATATTATTCAATGCCCCACGTTTTGTGTTCCTCAAAATAGGTAATGTCTGGCTGCCCTGGGATCTTGGACTAATTGACATTTTTCGCAGACTGGATATTTGATCCATGAGTAACGACTATGAGTATAATATGTCCTCATTCCGTAGGGTAATCCCTCATTCACATCATATGTATTCCTCCATATTTGCGGAGCTGTTCATTTTATTGGGTTGTTAATTAAGTGGTCGTGGAGATATTACAATAATCTGCTTCGCGCTTCTTAAATTGTTCGGAAATTTATTACGTGACACAAGATAAAAGAACAAAAAGTTGAAAACACACGATGTATTTATGGCCTGTATTTATTTTAATAACGAGGGAGACTCACAAATCATGGGCAATTAATTATCTTTCTGCTACCCAGTGGCGTATTAAGACAAGATTTCTGAAAACTATGATCCACAACATTGACTAAAATGCTAAGTGAATGTGGCGTCTAAAAATGGCGGCGGATAGCTTGACTTTGCAATATTGAAAGAAGGCAACGCCATAGGCTTGCTATGCTTTTGTTCGTTGTCAAAAAAGCACGAAACAGCTGTCTGTGGTTGTTCGAACTAAAGCAGCATGCTTACGTTAGGCCCTCAGAAATTTTTTAGTTACGAACATGTATAACAGAGACATTAAACGGATTGAGTCCGTCAAACAAATCCTTACAATTATTCCATAACATTCTTTCCCAGCACTACCCGTAGTAGTCTGGCAACGTCGCGTCGCCTCTCCCTAATATCTGAAAGCATGATGCTTCGCACGTGTCAGAGCGCCCACAGAGCACCAGTCATGCAGGACACGTACGAACACCAGCACGCCGGCCGCGGATGTTGAGTCAGCAGACTCAGGGACGCTTGTTGAAAAGATTTTTCTATCGTTCTAAGCTTTAAGGGCAAATGTACGGGCCACTCTACGATGTGTGAAATATGTCTAATAGGTGCGTATAATTATCAGGATTGGAAATGTATTAATATACTGACATGATAAAAATGCGATGAAATATTTAAATGATTTCAAAAAGGGGCTGGGGATCCTAGCACCGCCTATGATAGATGGCGCTGGTACTTTTATTTTGGGACACGGGGATTTAGTATATGGTTGGTCTTCTTCGGGAAGAATGCGTTAATCAATGTCAGTTAATAAAGTGAACATATACCCCTATTCTGCGCTGGTTGAACAGTACGCTTTTTAAACAATATTTAATCGAAGCATATGTATAATTAGAATAACATGTAAAGTGTTACTAGTATCCTATTATATCACAAATTACAGTTTATACATTACGTATCTGTTTTCTACTGTAGCAATGTGTTAAAGTTCACGTTCACACCTAATACTAATAATGGTCCTCTACTGTTCCGCTATTTCTTATGTATGCTTATTTCCAGTTCTTGTAAAGTCCAGACTACTCATGACTTTTAGTGCTTTAGGAAATTTGGATTCTTACTAACGATCCCCAGGATTTTATATATATATATATATTTTTTTTTTTGAGACGTGGTCATTGTCGTCTAGACCAGTTAGGTAAAAAATTAAAGCTTCCGCCTTTTGTTGGGTACTTCGACAAAATTTAAGCAAAGAGGACTCTTTATACTTTTTTAATTCTCTCTAGCTTTCAATGGACTTTGCCATCATCATCAGGAGCTGCAATTACAATGATAACAGTAGCAACAATAGTGTAAAATGAATTTAAACTTACAGTAGTATGTGAGGATGTTGCTAATTGTTGTTTACGTATAGGATGAGGGAAACGTCCAGTAACATGGTGAGAGCTGGATAGATAGTACAATGGTCAAAATTATATAAAATATGACAAGAACAAGTTAAAAACAGATTAAAAATTATTTAAAAACATTAAAGCATTACATCGTGAAGCCACTTGATGATTGCACAAAATGGTGGTCATGGAATAATGAGTGAGATGAACCCTTTGACAGAAGGCCGAAGGTTGTCAATGTCTGTGTAGAAAGATGGAACGAATTGTGGGCGTGTGCCAACGTTGCCAAATCACTTCAGATGATGTGATTTTCAGAATGTTATGTAAGAAATTTTTAAACCGACCAGAGGCAGTTGAATAAACTATATTTTAATTAATGGGAAATTAAATTAACAATTATTATTAAATCGTGAGAAGAGAATTATTAGAATTTGAGTGGAATGAAATTTACTGGTGGAATTGACCAAGATACAGATTCTATTTATGGTTGTGAAGAGTCAAAATTTGGGGAGATATGTAAGTTCTCCAATTTTTCGCAGTTTAGCAAATATGAGTAAATGACACTCAGTTGTTTAACATCTGTCTTTTTGTTGATACAGTTGTTATTCATGAAAATGTGGGACATTTCCAGGAATAAACGTTTAGAAAGGTGTTTTTCTTTTCTTTTAGATAAACCAAAATATGTGTGTAAAAATAAAAAAAAATTAAAAAAAAATGTTTACCTTGTTTTATAAAGTATCCTCCCGACAAGTATTTCAGTGCGGACCTGTATTTGATCGTGAGGTCTTGGAGCACCGGCATGCCGTCCATATGTGAGGTCTTAAGTCAAATGATTCACGAACGCGTTGTACTACATTAACAAAGGCACGAGGGGTTGATTGCACTCGATTGGGAAACCGATCCGAATAAACATGTGCCATTTTTTATTTCGTTTGAGCCACGCAACAGACACCACTATCCACTACCGACTGGCACTGACTGTATACAACTGAATGAAATAATTTTAAAAACATCGTTCCAAATTCTTTCGCTTTTTTGTTTCCGATGCGATGAACCGATAAGGCGAATTATATCCGTTGTCGCCAAACACGAGCACATAATATTATTATTGAGACAGGGCGGTACTCAAACTTCCAAAGGGCTATAACTTTGTTACTTTAATTTTACCAGAAAAATGTAAAAGGAAAAAACATTTCTTTTGATCAGATCGACTCACTGTTAAAATAAATGACTCAACTTCGAAGTCACCCTGTATATATATATATATTATATTGGATAATGTATACAGACATCTATCTATCTATGATAGGTGAAACTTGTCTAAGCGTATAAATCTACCAGCATCAAAAAATTGCGATAAAACATATATCTTTTTGTTTGTTTAAGATTTATTTAAAATCTATATTTCCTCTTGTATAATAATTGTGGTAATGATTATTCAATTCTATGAAGTGTTCTAGATGTTGTGGCAAAATATGATTTTTTATTTTAAATATAAAAATAACCAAATTTGAAACATAAAAAACCACTGCAATTTTTGTAATATATATTTTACTTTGGTTTAATTATTTTTATTCAATATTATTCTCATAGGTTTATTTTGCAACACTTGTAATTTTGAAAATACAGCTTCATTTAAAAGTAATTTGTTGTTTTTTGGCAATTTTGGAAATAATGTATTGTCATAGTGTTCCTCAACTTTAGTTTACCACTCTACCTAAATATTTGACTGATTCAACATTTTCAATTACAATCACCATTTATCCTATCATTTTGTTTTAGAAGCATTCAATTTTAGTTTATTTACATTTAACCAATTTACGATTTTTGTCAAGTCAGAATACAGCATTTTTAAAGCAGTGATATTTATATTAATCATCTGCATAAATATATCTGAATTTTACAATGATCTAAAATATCACAAGTGTCATTAATGTATAAAATAAAAAGTAGTGGACCTAGTTTACAACCTTGTGGTACACCAACAGAAATATCTTCAGAGCTTTATAATGTAGATCCAATTTTGGTTTTTTGACTCCTGTCAATTAAGTAGTTTTGTATAATT